ACTCCCACGCAGATGTGCGCACGAGGGTCTAATGTAAAAAGCCTGGCAACCTCAGCTTCAGACACAGACGTACGCGCGTGCGCACCCGCGCACGCAAGTACGCGCGTGCACACCCGCGCGAGCTGGCGCGGGCTCGGGCGCGGGCGCATCGAATGGGCGAAGTTGGAGCCACCTTTTGTGTTACCGAACTCAGTAAACACAGATAGCATTAGGCTGGACCACGCCAACTAACCCTCTAAAAAACGCACTTGCGTGCTGCATTTTTTCATTCGAACTTTTAAAAACCCTAGGACTTTACACAGCATTTTTCGCCTAGCCGTCAACAAAAAAGAGTCATCGCATCAACAGTTTTCAGTGCCAACAAGGATCTAGCATGATCAGAATCGCCCATTAGCAGCATCAAGCGTCACCGACATTATCGGATCTTCGCTAGTCTCATCCGCCCAAAGCCATCAACGTGTAGAGACTCTCGAAGCCGTCTTGCATACTCTCTGTCCCATAGGAAGTCATCTCGAACATTGAAAGGCGCTTTCTGCCCAAAGGCCTCCACTTTCACTGACAACTATCCAACAAACGACACAAACTCACCTAAAACACTGACATTTACAGCCGTTTGCGCCTACCCGTAAACCAACCAAAATCTTGAAAGCGCCCTCCAAACCCCCTAAGGAATTTTGCTTCTATGTGAACAATACTGCTTGTACTCTGGTGATGCCAATGGTGCTCGACACAAATGCTACCTCAAAACTTCCTCTCCCCTTTGCATACTTTCTTTTCTAGCGATAAAGCGTTACAGTAGCAAAACTTGACATTTACTTCTATTTGTCACCTTCTTTCAAGTAAATGCATACGCCCTGGTGATGTTCAAAATGTCCGTTTGCGGCTTACATTTCTAGCGCCACCTGGGCTTATATGGCTTCTTCAATCCAGTCACGACTAGAAGCGTAATATCGCAGTCAGGACTTTGTAAAGATTATCGCTTCAAAGCCGTCTGCTCATAAACTACATACATTTTGCAAAAACACTGTCATTTACTGTGGTGTGCGTTACAGTTGCAATTTGTGTCATTTTCCCTCTCTTTTTGGCGTTTTTTTATGAAGCCACATGAGCCCTGGTGATGCTAGAAATGTGGGTTGGCGGCGTGGAGTGCGCTTCCGTATAGCAAGCTGGCCTGCAGGTACGCCGGACGGCGTCGCCGGACACAAGGGGCTAACGCCCGCGGGCCGCCTAGAGCAAGAGAAAGAACCATCAAAAGGAAAGAAAAGGAAAAGGGAAATGGCATGAAAAGGAAGCTGGAGGAGAGCACTCTTCAACCCAATGTTCCCTGCATCATATCCAGTGAAGTGCTTCCAGACCTTGCTTGTTCTTGCTTGCTGGAGCGCTTGGCTGCATTCAGCGCCATCTACTGCGCCCAAATTTGCTCAGAGAGGGTGCCTAACGGCAACTTCGAAACCCAATTTAAAACTAGACGACGGTTGGCCCGAGAGCGAGACATGTGATTGTCCAGCACTGTCGAAAAGATATATAGAAAGAGAGAAAGAGAGGGCGGACGTGAAGGAGTGACAGTGATAGATGTGTAGACGATGTATGGAGGTGGAGAGGTAGATTTGTGGATGTGAGCGTGCGAAGATGCAAATGCACAGAGGCGAGAGAAAAGGTATGTAGAAAGAAAGAAAGACAGGACAGATGTGAAGGAGCGACAGTGTGGGTGTACAGATGTGATATAGATGTGCAGATGTGTGGGTGTGGTGAGGTGGAGAGGTAGATCTGCGGATGTGAGCCTGTGAAGATGTAAATGTACAGAGGTGAGGGGGTGTAGACGTAGATGCGTCGATGCAACGGCGGCGCAACGTCAACCTTAGTTGTGCAAGTACAACGCTGAAGAGGTTCGAATAGAACTGAAGAACGTACATTTCACACTGAAGTTTCCATGCAGCTTCAGGCTCAAACTGACTCAAACTCTTCAATTTCTCCACAGAACACCGTGTACGAACCCCTCAAACGCGCGAGACAGGTGATTTGCCAGCAATTCCGAGTAATGCCGATAGTTCAAATCGACTTGTCCCAGACCCATGACCTCTGGACACAATTTAAACTATTAAGAGACAAGATGTGTAGAAAGAGAGAAGGAGAGGACCGACGTGAAGGAGTGACTGTGTGGATGTGCAGGTGCGATATAGATGCGCAGATGTGTGGAGGTGGAGAGGTACATCTGCAGATGTGAGCGTGTCAAGATACTCTCGTGGGACACTCTCTTTTTTTTTCTCGGTCCCTTTTGTGTTCTCGCTTCAAAGAGCCACGGGCTTCTCGCCCAAAAGTGGCAAGGGCAAGGATCATTCGCCTTGAACCCTCTATACATTCAACTGCTCGAACTTGGCACGAAGGTGAGCTTCTGCTGCCCACTGCCGCTGCTGCAGGGCTGTTGTGCCCAACTCTGCACCTTGCCCTGAACTTCCTTGGTGCTCTTGCCACACTTCAAGCATGTGATCCACTCACTCCTCCTCCAAAGGTTGTGGCTGGTGTGCACCCTGGTCCGCAGCTGCAGATCCCTTTCATGAAGCTGCTCAAACCTGCAAGGTGCATTCTGTATGACTTGCAGTGCCCCTTTTCCACATCTCCTCGGAACCTTCAGCCAGCAACGCGAGCAACTGAAGTTGCTGACGCGAAGCACCCATCGATGCCCCGGGACATCTTCCGGCAGCAAGCCACTGTCTTCTACCAACTGCTCCATCTGCTGGGTGAGGGTCTGACTCTTTGTTCCACTGCAGAGCTGCCTGTCTTTCCTTTCAATCTCGGCATGAGTGGAGCAAGCCTTGACATGCATCCCACATGCCTGACATTGCATGCCCCCTCCATTTGCTCTCAGCTTCCAGTGGTGCTGACTGACCTTCACCAACAACACGTTGTGTGAGCTGCTGCATAACCTCAATTCGTCCTTTGGGTGCCCTGACTTTGACTTTATACTCAGCCTCAACTTTAACCATCTTATCATGCATGTAGTGCTCTTTGTCCTGCAAGATGTTGCCAATGCGCTCTGCTGCCACAGCATAGACCTGGCGGTGCCATTCGTCACCGATCCGCAGAGACTGGAGCACCTCTGCTGGCCGCTCTTGCGCTGCTCTTTGTACTGCCTGCGCTTGAGCTTCACAGTACTGCAACCAGGCCCTTTGATCACCCTGCTCAGGTTTAAGGAGCCTTGCCGGGACATGAAGGGCTTTCAACCAGCTCCACTCACTGGCATTGAGGGTGTACCAGAGGTCTGCCACCAGCTCATGCTTGGCTGCATTTTGAAGGACTTGCCATCCCCGCTGGTGAGGAATATTGATCTGGTGGCGTCCCAGGAAAGCCTGTAGGATCACCCAGCAGCCAAAGACCCATGCCCTGGCCTCATTGGCTTTGCCCGGCGCTATCGCTGTGCAGGTGCCTTCAACACACCATCCGCCATCTCGCCATTGTCCAACCACAATAGCCACTGCAAACTTCTGCGCCCGAGCATCTTGACGCGTGGCCTTGACGCCAATGGCAATGCGGGAGCTCGGTCCAATCCTCATGGGCCACCCTTCCTCCAGCAGACCGGTGACATGCATGGAGTCAACTCCGACACGAGGCTGGTAGTCTGGGCCCTCAATCATCCCCCTTGCCCACAACATGGACTCTTCATTGGCTGCAATGAGGCGTCTCCACTCCAGTGGCAGTGGTTCTTCATGGTAGCAGCATTCCCAGATGAGGTGCTTCATCGTGACTGGGACTTGGCGCAGAGGGCACTGTGCCCGCTCCCCACTCACATGGGTCCGAAGGGAGCCTTGGGTCCATGCATCCACTGCAGCTCTTTTGATGCCCTTGAGCTGCTTGATGACACAGTGGTAAGTTGTCCAGTCAGGCCTCCTCATCAAGGGAAAGCAGTGCTCCAGCTCCTGAATGCGGGAGGCTCTCTGGTGTGCCAACTCCTCATGCAGCTGCTTTTGCAGGTACGGCCAGGGATACTCCAAATTGAGCTGTGCCACCGGTCGCACTCCCCGTGGCTGGCGCACCCAGTCGTGTAGCAGGGACGCATCCCACTTCATCTCCAGGAGGTAGGCTTGTAATGCTGCCATGGGACCTGCCACAACCATCCACGGGTAGGCCGCTGCTTGCAGCCGCTTCCATGAGACCCGCCAAGCCGCTTCCAACTCCCCTCTTTGGGCTGTGGGCCATGCCTGAACAAGCTGATGCATGGCTTTCAGCTGGCGCTCAATGGCTGTGTCACGAGGATCCTGCAATTTGATTTGCTGGTCAAACACAATGTCACAGCTCCCTCCCTTCTGCAGGCCCCCATGCCTTGCAAGCTGAGCTCGGAGGACACGAAGCCTCTGTGGTGCCATGCCCTGTGCTTCAACGCCATAGCTGACTGCCGCATGGACCGAGGTTTTCCAGATCCTAATTCTGACCGGCCTGGATCGAAGCTTGAAATGCAGCAGCTTGGACTGGCGTCCCCGCCCCTTCAACAGGCGCTGCTGCTGAGTGCCAATGCGTCGGCGGCGAGCTCCACTAGAGTCCAAGCCTAAGTCCTTCAGGAGGTCTTGTGCCTTTGG